ATTATTGAGTAGGAGTAGAGTTTATAGCTTAAGAGAAATTTATAAAGTTAAAAAATGTGAAATAATATTTAATAATAATTTTATTAGATATTTTTAATTAATTATGCAATTTATTGTTACATACTTAATATACAATATATAAAACAAAAAATTGATTTGTATCATTTTTATAAAATATATTTTATTTTAAAGATAACTAAAAATTGAGCCACATGAAGAAATACACCATATACTTAGACATCTAAAAATTGGGTTATAGAAAGGGTATATAATATTTTAATTCAGATAGAATTAAGCCCTATCATATTAGCAAATAGTACAGTTGCAAAGAAATAATAGTTTTGATGCAGACAGCATGTTTAATGGATTGGGCAATAATTATTTATTCTGAATAAATGCTTTTCTGTATTCCTGACAAGCTGTATTCATTGTTCAAAATTGCTAAATTGCAGTTTATTGTTAATTTGAAAAGCCTACATTTAGAAAGCCCTTAAATTGTAATCGTTTGTGTGCCGTATTTGTTGAAATGCTGTAAAATATTTAAAGCTATGTATGTCTATTTCAGGATTGATATATATGTTATTTACAACACGTACTTTAAGCTGCTTCTCAGTATCACATTAATTGGAATAGGCAAGTGATACGTATAAATGAATGCCTTTAGTAGCTTCATTACTTTTAAATATTTTTACCTGAAAAACTTCTAGCTCAAATATCACAAAATGACTTAGCATGTTATTTCTTAATGTCTTTATACTGACAGCATAGAGAAAAAATAAAATTACTTATCACAATCACAATACTTGTAAGCAAATAGGTAAAAGAACAAAAAGTCTGAAAAGATATGATTCAGAGAAGTACAGGGTTAGGAAAAGGTGAAAATCAAGGGGTCATTGACATGGCAACTTGTCTATAGTCTGCCTCAACAGCTACAATTCTCATATGACCCTCATATTTCTTCTCTTCATATACAAGGAGAAATCTCATTCTTCTCTCTTCCACATTCTTAATTATATTTAGGTCTTACTCTTCCAGAAGAAAAAGGGAAAATCGAACCTGAATGTCCCCTGAAAGTGAAGAAATGTCCACACTTCTATGTGCAGATTGGTAAGAACTTTCCGTTTCCATTTTCCTCCTTCACTGGAACGAAGTGAGTGCTGGTAAAATTGCTTCCTTTTACCCCCGGCTGGTGATCGACGCAGATGAGAACAATTGGTATTACTAGTGATGATTGATTATTTCTCTCTAGAGTATCTGAGGGAAACCCAATAACACTTCCTTTTAGGTAAAAAGGAGATACTGGGGCTTAGAGCCCCTCTTGGTTTAATATATGTGCTCTGGGGTATTTTCCGGTGACCGTCTTCAATAAGTAAGAAAAGAGAAAAAACAACTTGGTTGAGAGTTATGTTCCTGCTATATATTATCTACCTATGTGTGTAATATTGAAGATTTCATTCAATGGGTTACAGCAACTCATAGCAAACTGGCAGCAGAAATAGTCTTTGGTTTTTAAATAAAAGTTCTCTAACTGAAACTTTTGATACTGGAATTATCTTCCTTTCCCTTTCTATTATTCTCTTATTGAGTTATAAGGAAACAGAAAATAGAGAGATTCAACCCAGCAGTATGCTTTTTTTTTTTTTTTTTTTTTTTTTGAGGCAGAGTCACACTCCGTCACCCAGGCTGGAGTGCGGTGGCCCCATCTTGGCGCACTGTAATCTCCGCCTCCTAGGTTCAAGTGATTCTTCTGTCTCAGCACCTCAAGTAGCTGGGATTACAGGCATGCACCATGAGGCCCACCTAATTTTTGTACTTTTAGTAGAGAAGGGGTTTCACTATGTTGGCCAGGCTGGTCTCAAACCCCTGGCCTCAAGTGATCTGCCCACCTTGGCCTCCCAAAGTTCTGGGATTATAGGCATGAGCCACTATGCCCGGCCAACAGTATACTTTTAATGGAGTAAAGCGAGACCCAAGTTGTCTCATTCTAAGTCACTCTAGAACAAAATTTATATAGAATTTATAAGGAATAAGATATTGGCAAGGACTCTGAGATAGATGGCACTGTTATTTGGAATTGCTTACTGTCATACTTGGAGAGAGTGAATACATCACTGCCCACTGCCATGTGATGTGCAATGCTCCTTCCTGAGAGAGTCTTACTTTTGCTTCATTCATGCCTTATTTACAGAATGCCTTGGCCATATGAGTAGCTCTGACCAGTGAAATAGGAGTAAACGTGATGTATAGCATTGCTCACTGGAAGCCTGTAGAGCATTCATTGCATGGTTGCAGCCTTGCTTTTCTTCTTTCATAAGATCAAAATAGGGCTGTTCTTTAAGCCTTGGTCCAGCAGTGAAGACAATAAGAGGCAAAGCCGCAACTGAACAGTGAAGGATGAGTAACATGTGCAAGAAATAAACCGTTGTTGCTGTACGGTTGTTGCCACTAAGATTGTTGGGGTTGTTTATTACTGCAAAATAACCTAGAAAAACTATTAGCAAACTTAACTTAAACTCAAAAAAGAACTAAAGCACTCATGTGAATAATTGTGCCTCTTAACACTCACATTCTAAGATAAGCTTCCTCCCTGCTTTTTTCTCCTTTTCTTTCATTTTTTTCTTCATTCATGTTTGTGTGTGTGTACACACATACATAAAAATTTGGTCATCCATAGTAAAATCAAATGTGCTTTTAATAACTTTAGAACTGATCATTTCAAAATACTGAGCATTCTTAAGCTGAAATTTAAACTTGGAAAAAACCACCACAAAGCTAACCTTAAAAATGGAAATAAAACAACCAAAAATGAAGATGGAGTCAATTAGATCTTGGAATTGCTAGGGCAAACAAAAGAAAAGTTTTAATTTTCTGTTTCCTGAATGTTCAATTTTCTTTTCTCTTTCTCTCCCTTGTTCAGTAAAATGAGGAAAACTCTATGACTATATTTTATTTTCACCATTATTATACACAAGGTAGTAAGAATACTAATGCAACCAAGAATGATTTAAGTCTATCTCTATGCCATTCATGGAAAGAAAATCAATAACCATCCTGAAATTGATAATGTAATACTTCTCTATTAGATATGATATCACTAGTAATATTTCTGCTTAGTCAAGGAGGGGAAAATAACTCATTTGCTCACCTACTCTCCTTTTTTTCTCATCAATTCTTTCTCTTGTCAGGACTGTGCTTTCCCTGGACATGATGAAAACACAAGATTGAGTGCCATCCTATTTATTGTTATGGTTTTCCTAATCTAAACTAAGCCTACTTTTGAAATTTCCTGGATGAAAAGGTGGTTAAATCCCAAATGCTTATGGTTCTTCAAAAATATAAACATTCTTTCCCTCTGGGATAATAGAAAGCATACTTTTAGAATGATTCTCTTGGTATTAATTCATATGCTCTATTTGGTTTTTTCCAAACTTGTATTTATTCAGTGGTCATGCAACTTTAGAAATTAAGTTAACAAATGATAATCTCATCTCATATTTATTCTAATGAAAGAAATGGAAAGTAAAGTGCTCACAAAGTGTATGTGTAACTTTTTCCAGTGCTACCTTAATAAGCTTCCTTCCCCAACCCTCAAAAGAGGATAGTCTTAAGTGCTTACAGTGAATTTGTAACAAGAATCTTGTTTTCCACCTCATTCTGTCTCTCTTTCTCTCTCTCTCTCTCTCTCGCACACACACACACACACACACACACACACACACACACACAGACACAGAACTGGTGTCTCAGGTTTCATTACTGCTGTAGACTCTTACAAAGGAAGAATAAAGCATCTTCTTTCTCCATACCTTCCCTGCTCCCTAAAAGTCAGAAATCCTCATTAAATTAATATTTTTTTTAAAGTCTGTGTTCCCCCAAATAAGTAATATATTCAAAAGGGAAATGAACAACATTTTTTAAAGGCGAGATTATTTCAGAGAGATAAGCAGTGAAAGTCCTTTTTTAGTGGGAGCAGGTGTGACTAGTCCAAGGGTTTGAAGTTACCTGAGATTTGCAAAAGGAGCTTTGGCATTTCAGCTTGCTATGGAAAAGTGTGTCCAGATGGCATACATTGCCCAAACCTGGGAGTGGGTTACAAGATTTCTGTGTGCTTTTAGATGAAGGTCAGTGCAGAGAACTGGAATGGCATGAATATCTGAATTTGGTTAAACTCAGAGGAAACCAGTGCCTAAAATGTAGTCAACATCACTGTTCAATTGCAGCAGTGAGAAGCTAAAGGAGCAAGGCTAAGAAGAAAATCATGATGAACTGTTTTTTAGGCATTATATAAACTCAGGAGTTTTTAATGCTTAATGAGAGTCTCAATATTGACTGAATTGAACTTAGTAAGTATTTAGAAGCTTGGAGGATATTTGATTTAACATGGTGAATCAAAATGAAATTCCTTAAACTTGAATATTATGGGGGTAAAATTAATAACAGTTACACATAAAACAATTTGGGCACTATTATAAAAGTTTATGAAATATATATTTATGAGGAAGACTAAAACGCTTAGAATTTAGGGTTGTTAATTTTCAGATAATGACTTTTACTATGTTGGAGAATTAATGAATAGTGGGAACTGCCATAAAACCCTGTGGATTTGGGGAATACCAGTGATCTGATATGAGATTTAGTGTGAATGGGGCTTATTAAATATTTTTAAAACTGGGAGCAGATACATAGTGATTGGCAGAATGTTCATTAAGGGAAGAGAAATTGGCTTTTTCCAATAAATAACTTTGTTATTCGCAAGAGACTATTGAGAAATGATGAACAGGGAAGAAGATATTTAAGTCCCCTATCTCAGACTTCTAATTTCAAAAATGACTTAATCATCTCCATCTGAGAGACGAATACCTACTAGCCAATGTCCTCAGTGTCCTTCAGGAGTGTTTTCCAAATTATTTTTGCGGCTCCTTTGTGAGTCATGAAATCAATCTGGGAAATCACCACAGGCATTTAAAAAAAATCAAATGAAAACATCTGATTGCATCACATAGAATAGGACTCTGTACTGTTTTATTTTTATTACATATATTTTTATATACCTATGTACACCTATAAATACATAAAAATTTGTATAAAGAGTCATAATGAAAACTGCATTTCTGACAGAAATTCAGATCAAATGAGTTGGAGACCTTTGTTTTATTTTACGGAAACTTCCATATTGCTCCTAGCTTAAATATCATTTAAATATGGGCTGAAATTTTAAGATAAGGGAAAACTACACTGCCAGTGAAATGATAAATCCCATGAACTCTGTTTGTTGAAGGGGATGAAACTTTGGGTTGATTGAGAAGTCCATTTGGAGAAGATTCACTACTAGAAGAACGGAAGGTGTCTGGGGTCCTGAAATACAAACAATGATGAAATGGGGTTAAAGTCTTGAGTTTGAGTCTATTTGAGTCTCAAAAAGTGTTCAGTGCCGTGGCTGAATGTCTCAGTAGTTTAGAATAAGCTTCTGTTCAGGTCAGTTTTTAATATACCATCCAGAGGGCTGGTTAAAGGTTTCTACGTTGACTCTCGGGCTGGAGGCTTTGGAGACTTGGCCTTGGCCAGAGGAGCCATAGACCCAGGGAGTATGGCCCAGGCCCAGCAGGAGCAGGCATAGGGAGGGGCTGCTCTGAGTAAACTCTCCACTGTGAGCTCAGCCTGGTGGAAACTGAACCCCTCCCTTCAACTGTTCAACTGTTTTCGACTTTAAATCTCATTAGAGAAGAAAATGAGGGGGAAGTGGTTGTTCACTCCAGGAGAGAGGGAGTCAGGCATGAAAGAGATGATTTTAGTGACCCAATTTCAGACTCTGCCAGCTAGGGCAGATGGAGACTTAATATACCAACTGAAGACTTAATTGTTGTTTCGTGTATTCCATTAATCTGTACGTGGGTGCTCTTCCACAAGATCCTTGATATCCCAACACTTTGGTATCCGGGCAATCCTTTATCCACCATTTTGCAGTGGCCTGCACTATGCACTACAGAACTGAAGTCTCCTAAGGGAAGTCTGAACCTAACACAAGACTATAAAGCATACTGCTCAACTACAAAGAAGAACCATTTTAGATGTAGCTGTCTAAGATTCAAGAAAGCATAAGGGGTACTTACTTTACTTTGCAAGTAGGGAAGTTAGATATTTCATGCAGACTTCTCTTGCAGTTGTAGATGCTAAAACCTAAAAGCAGTCATAAAAGTTTCTAGGGCTGAGACTGCGATGAATAGAAAGACATTTAAGAGGTAACTGTCAGTCAGTCTGAAGCCTCAGGGCCTATCAGACAGACAGTAGCCTCAGTAGCTATCAGAATTTCAGACTAGCATCAATGTGGCTAAGGGAGCAATAATCAAGATGGCAACAATCTTGCGGTGTAGACCAGGAACATTCCCTGCTTTTCTATTGTGACACTTGTCCAGAAATTTTATATTATCCTGTGGATCTATTGTGGTGAGGAGACTTCAAAATGAGTGACACTGAATTTCTTACCATCCAGGCAGGTGGAAGTTTGAAGAAGATTAAATTTGATTTAAAACAATAATGGAATATGAAAGCCTGTATGCAGTGTTGTGATGTGATACACACATACACACATAAATATATATAGCATATTCATTTAAAATTAATGTATATTTCTAATGCATTTAGTTCTCATTTCAAATTTATTCATACACATTAGGTTTAGTGTAGAGTTTATGTGTATGGTCTCTGGAGTCAGATAGCTACAGCATGAATCTCAGCTTATTTACTATGTGATCTCGTACAACTTTCTTACCTCTCTGAGTTTTAGTTTCTCACCCATAAAATGAGGATAATAGCATGGTTCATCTGTTTAAGTGATTCTTGATTGCTAAATTTCTTAGAAATTTCTCTGGAACATAGAAAGAATTTAGTAAATAATAGATCTCTTTAAAAGTTCTCTTATTAAAGCATAAGCTATTTTCTCTTTTGAATACATGCATTTGACATTTTAACTTATTTTCTGTATTTTTTATTTGCTTATATATACAATTTACTCTCCAAACTGCACTTTACTCTGTCACTTCATAAATTAGTTTTCACCCCATGTACCTGTACACTTGCACTCCTTCCGCCAAATTCTATGCTCAAAGTCTGACCAAGAGTTTATTTAGTGTTTTCTCCTCTTCCACTCTCAATTTTGTGTTTCTTATGTGGCAGTAAAAATGTTGGACACAATTTTACTTCTAGTTTCATGACTGTCTGAGACTGAGCATCAAGTTCCACTTTATTTATGTATCACTGCATTCTCCATCCCAATTCCTGATACTGGATTCTAGGCTGCACCTTAGTCTGTGCATTCAGTTAACAAACATTTTTTTGCTTGTTTTCGCTCTGCCAGGCAATGTGACAATCACTAAAGACTGTCACAGATAAAATAACCCCTGATATCCATTGATATAGCTGTAAATCTTGCATTCACATGGTATGGCTTTACTAGCCAATAAAGTTCCCCTTTTACTTAAACCAATGTCTTAGTCTATCTGGGCTTCTATAACAAAATGTCACAGACTAGGTAGCTTATAAGCAGCTCAAGTCTATTTCTTACAAATCTGGACACTGGAAAGTCCAAGATTAAGGTGCCAACAGATTCAGTGTCTGGTGAGATCCTGTTTTCTGGTTTATATGTGACACCTTCTAGCTGTGTCCTCATGTACTGTAAGGATCAACACACCTCCCTGGGGACTACTGGTATCTTTGGATCTTTGTCCTCTCCAAATATCATGTTGAAATGTGACTCCCAATTTAGGAAATGGGGCCTAATGAGGTGTTGGATTATGAGGGCATATTTTTCTTGAATGGCTTGGTGTTGTCCCCTTAGTAATGAGTGAATTCTCGCTCTATTAGTTCATGAGAGAGAGGTTGTTTAAAAGAGCCTGGCACCTCCTTTCTCTCTTGCTCTCTCATAACACCTCTGCTTCCTATTTGCCTTCTACCTGGTTGAAAGCTTCCTGAGGCCCTCACCAGAAACAGCAGCCAGCACTGTGTTTCTTGTACAGTTTACAGAAACACGAGCCAAAATAAATCCTTTTTCTTTATAAATTACCCAGCATCATGTGTTCCTTTGTAGCAATGCAAAATGGACTAAAATAGTCACTAATCCCATTTATGAGGGCCCCACCCTTATGACTTACTCACCTCTCAATGGCCTCAACTCCTAACACCATCACATTGGTGATTAAGTTTCAACATAAGAATTTAGGGGCCGACTGGATAGGACACAAACATTAAAACCATAGCAACTAGTTTGAGTTGTGTTTCTTTCACTTATCACCCTAAATGTCCTGAGTAGTATGAGACCATTTCATCATATACTAAATCCTCATGTGCTCTAGAGTCTTATTCTGTATGATCTATTCTACTGTATTGATTTATTAATTTGTACCAGTCCTTGGACTTGAATTGCATTGTTTTATTATAGTAGCTTTTCAATATATTGTAATGTATTACTGGAAGAGTCTTTACTAATCACACATTCACATTTTGGAGGTAGTATTTTATATGGTGATTTTTCCAAGTGACTTTTAGATTTATTTTGTCTTGTTTTATTTATAAAGCATAGAAAAGAAACAAGAACTCAGAGGTATATGTTGGTGTTTTTACTTAGAATATAGTAATTTTATGTGTTAATTTTGAAGGATTGAATCTATACAATATTGAATTTGACAATACAAGAGAACAGTGTATTTTTCATTTATTCAAATCATTTACAATACTTAAGTGAATTTTAATGTTTACTTCCATACAGTTATATTGATTTCTAGATTGATTTACTCAGAAATAAGAAAATTATTTTTTATACTTTCTTTTCTTTTCTTTTCTTTTTTTTTCTTTTCTTTTTTTTTTTTTCCTGAGACAGAGACTCGCTCTGTTGCCAGGCTGGATTGCAGTAGCATGGTCACTGTGACCTCCGCCTCCTGGGTTCAAGCAATTCTCCTGCTTCAGCCTCCCAAGTAGCTGAGACTATAGGCGCATGCCAGCATGCCCAGCTAATTTTTGTATTTTTAGTAGAGATGGGGTTTCACCATGTTGGCCAGAATGGTCTTGATCTCTTGACCTTGTGATCTGCCCTCTTCGGCCTCCCAGAGTACTGGGATTACAGGCGTGTGCCACCGTGCCTGGCCCCTTTTGTTATACTTTCTAAATTGTTATTATTTGTGTAAATGAAGGATTTTTATTTTTATAATATGCTATCTTCAGGTATTCTCATTTTAATTTCAATTGTTTTTGTTTCCAAGTATTCAAACTATCACTGCACATAATAAAAAGTTTGCTTCTCACTTAATTTTCTTGTTTAATTATATTGATGTACCTTTCAAACAATTTAAAATAAAGCGGTAACAATTGTCTTACTCTTGACTTTACTAAGAATGCTTATTACACAATTAGGCATAAGGTTTCTGCCTCAAAAAATTATATACGGATGTTTAACTTTTAAAATGCCTTCTTTGTATTATATGAAGATCTTTATTTGACCGACTTTTATATGATTTTTAATTGATATCAAACCTTTTTTTTGTGTGTGTGTGTGTGTGTGTTTCTAGAATAAATCTTTTTTGGCTTTGCTATGCTCTTTTAACCTTTATTTGCATTGAAAATAATGAGAATCACATGTTGTCTCATGCTAGATGTTTTTGAAACTTTTTTTTACCCCTATCTGTAGAATAATTTAAATTACAGAAAAATAACTGTTTTTTCAAATAAATGTACTTTTTGAGAATACCAACAAGAGCTTGTCACCATTCTTTTAGAAAAAATGTACCTACATTACACAGAAAGCCTAAGATCCCAACTAATTTCCTAAAGTATAACTGAAAAATGTGAACATTTGTAAGAGTAACAAACTATTTGTTTAGGATTTAATTTGATTAAAACATAACTTCTAATCTCAAAGCAATTGACATGGTTTTTAACAATTACATGCTTTGTATGCAGAAAAACCTTTTCTTCTATTTAAGTCAGTTTTTTCACTTAAATTGCTTTAATTCTCTAAAATTTCCTCCAGTATTTTTCTTAAAAAAATATGGATACTAATTGCACAGCACTAGTCAAAAAGAAGATCATGCTGAAAGAATGGTAGAGGATAAGACATAATGGTACAGTTGCCTTGTGTATGACACTGTGATGTACTGATCATCAGCCATATCTATGCCTGACTCTGCCAGCCTATCAAGTGCATTTTTATTGCAACTTGAATATTTTCATGCACACCATTTTCATGAAAATGTTTTACAAAGTTTAGGGGATTAAAATGTAATTTTTTCCTATATTACCATTGGCCAAACCTTTGTACTGAGAAATAAATATATTCTCAGAAATTTGGGTATTGAAAAGCAAGAGGC